AGAGAATCTGGAACAATCGCTGTGCGTAAGGGTCAAGGCCGTAAAACTCTACTGGATGCTCGTGATCTCCGGGCCCTTAAACGTCACTGCACCTCAAACAGGAATGCCACTGTCAAGGAAATAACAGAATGGGCTCACGAATACTTCCAGAAAGCATAGTCAGTGAACACAATCCACCGTGCCATCTGCCGTTGCCAGCTGAAACTCTACAGTGCAAAGAGTAAGCCATTTGTAAGCAAGCTCCACAAGCTCAGACGTTTGCACTGGGCCAGGGGTCATTTAAAATGGAGTGTGGCAAAATGGAAGACTGTTCTGTGGTCAGATGAGTCACGATTTGAAGTTCTTTATGGAACACTGGGACGCCATGTCATCCGGACCAGAGAGGACAAGGATAGCCCAAGTTGTTATCAACGCTCCGTTCAGAAGCCTGCATCACTGATGGTATGGGGTTGCATGAGCGCTTGTGGCATGGGCAGCTTGCATGTCTGGAAAGGCACCGTTAATGCATAGAACTATGTTCAGGTTCTAGAACAATATATGCTCCCATCTAGACGTCATCTCTTTCAGGGAAGACCCTGCATTTTTCAACACGATAATGCCAGACCACATTCTGCAGCAATCACAACATCATGGCTACGTAGGAGAAGGATCCGGGTACTGAAATGGCCAGCCTGCAGTCCAGATCTTTCACCTATAGAGAACATTTGGCGCATCATAAAGAGGAAGGTGCGACAAAGAAGGCCCAAGACGATTGAACAGTTAGAGGCCTGTATTAGACATGAATGGGAGAGCATTCCTATTTCTAAACTTGAGAAACTGGTCTCCTCTGTCCCCAGACGTCTGTTGAGTGTTGTAAGAAGAAGGGGGGATGCCACACAGTGGTAAAAATGGACTTGTCCCAACTTTTTTGGGATTTGTTGACGCCATGAAATTTGGAAACAACAGATTTTTCCCTTAAAATGATACATTCTCTCAGTTTAAACTTTTGATCTGTGATTTGTGTTCTATTCTGAATAAAATATTAGATGTTGGCACCTCCACATCATTGCATTCAGTTTTTATTCATAATTTGTTTAGTGTCCCAACTTTTTTGGAATCCGGTTTGTTTAATAATAATAATAATATAATAATCTAACAAAGTTAAGTCAGGTCCTCTGGACAGATTGTTCTTGTTGAAACGTTTCGTCTTTTATACAAAAGACTTCTTCAGTCTGAGGAGCTGAATGGCACCTGAAATAGCACCTTCTGAGAGTGGATTAACGAGTTTGCTTGAAACAATCCAAACTAGTTGTTCATAAGCAAAAGAAGGACCATCAGCCTAACAATGGATCATTAGCACCTGATGGCTGTTTACTGTTCACAGAGGGCTGAGTGATACTAGCAATCACAGCATTGTAAGAGGGGGACAGTTGAACCCGGAGGCCTCCACCCCTGTTTAATGATGGACGATTTCTTTTCACAAAGATGGCCTCCTTTACTCCTCTCTCAAACCATCGTTCCTCTCTGTCCAGGATGTGAACATCTTCATCCCTGAAAGAGTGACCGCTGGCCTGGAGATGAGTGTAGACCACAGAGTCCTGGCCTGATGATGTTGATCTTCTGTGCTGGTCCATCCTTTTGGCCAGTGGCTGTTTAGTTTCCCCGATGTAAGACTGATCACAGCCCTCCTGACACTGAACAGCATACACAACATTGCTCTGTTTGTGTCGGGGGACTGGATCTTTGGGATGAACCAGTCTTTGCCGTAATGTATTTTGGGGTTTAAAAGCCACTGGGACGTTATGTTTAGAAAATAAACGTCTCAGTTTCTCTGATACTCCCTCAACATATGGAATGACCACTGGTCTGGGTCTGGGTTCCTCCTTTTCACCTGTTGGCTGACTGGAGTCCTTTTTGGGTTTCTTCTCTGCTTTCAGGAAGGCCCAGTTAGGATATCCACATTGCTCTAGAGCCTGTCTTGTGTGGGATTTCTCCTTCTGCCTGGTTCCTGAGTTAGTGGGGACGCTGTCTGCTCTGTGAAACAGAGTCCTGATGACTCCTAACTAAATAACTGCTTGAGCTACAGCTCACTTGGTTTTGCTGCTGCCAGATTGTTCTCCTTCGGCCTGAACAATTACCCTGCGATGTTTTTGGACATCAAAGCAGGCAGTGAACTTCTTGGATGGAAAAACATCACAGTAGCTGCTAAAGAAACTGCTCACACACTGAAAAGCGTACAGCTGAATTCGGATATAGTACAAAAGACAGCAGGTAATTGCTCAACAAAGTTTTTGTTGTTGTTGTTTTATTTATATCTGTTTAAAACTAACCCAAGTGTGAATGAACAGAAAACTTCAGAGCTCTGTGCACAGGGGAGTATGGCTTTGGATACAGAGGCTGCACGTTTCACAGGGTTATCCAGGACTTCATGTGTCAGGTAATGACTGACACTCACACAGAGTGAAGCAAAATGTTGCAGGTGGGTTATTTTACTGCTGTGCTGCGTTTTCTGTCACACAGGGAGGAGATTTCACCAACCACGACGGCACAGGAGGGAAATCTATATATGGGAAGACATTCAAAGATGAAAACTTCAAATTAAAGCACTCTGGTCCAGGTACACCTCATCACCAGAGACACAACAAGAGCTCTGTTATCTGCTCATCATGCAAGATGAACGGAATTCACATTTAAACACAACTACATACAAATATTTGTAACATGTAATATTTGACGTTTTACTAGCATCTCTCCACTAGATGGCAGTGTTGAACCTCGTCCCACCATCAAAATAGCTTCATATAGATTTTGCAATCCTCGTGATGGGAATGACCTACTTTTTAGAGTCAACATGTTCAAATAATTTTATTATTATTATTTTGTATGAACTTTTCTTTTTAAGTGTTTTTCTTTTTTTTTTTTTTCTGTGCCTCATTTTGTTTTGTGTCAAAGAAGCGAAACGAGGTTTTAATGAAACAATTTTCTCAACTTTTATTGTGTGTTTGTTGTGATGCACCCAGGCCTAAATGTGACAAAGTCAGAATTTAATAGAAAAAGAATGTTAAGGTTTGCTCATGCGCTCGGCTCATTGGCTCTTTGATCTCTGCAGGAACACTGTCAATGGCAAATTCAGGGCCGAACACCAACGGCTCGCAGTTCTTCATCAGTACGACTAAAACAGAATGGTAACGACTCACCTGCCCCATCACAGTCTCATCAACCACCTAACACATGCTCAGATCATTAACCCCCACTGCCAACAGGCACAGGCTTGCGTTTTGCCTTTGTCTGTCTGTTAGCAAAATATCCAATGAACCACTCAACAGATTTTAATGAAACTCTCACCAAGTAAATATTGGCTGTACATCTATAATCATTCAACTTTTGGAGTCAACTTGATTCAAGATGGCTGCCACAATCAACTGATCTTATAAAACACAAAAATGGTTCTATTTCAGTCAGTTTTATTGATATTGTGCAGGTATTTGGTATGGAAATAGCTGATGGTCATTCACAACACAAGTCTTGTGTGCTCCAGATACTACAATATGTTTGAATAAAAATGAACTTTAAATGTCGGCGTCAACACCTTTTGTCTGTTAGCAAGCTGTACTATGAACCACTGGACACAATTTTATACAACCTTCCCAAAGCAATCACTGGATGCACATCTACATGTGATTAACTTTTGGAGTCAGTCCATTTCAAGATTGCCACTGCAGTTAATCAACTTTAACCAACACAGAATTGGCTATAACCCAGTCAGTTAGGCATATACTGAGCTCAAACTCGGCATGGTTTTAGCTGAGAGTCATTCACAACACATACTCAGAACGTGGCATCTCACAATAATGACAGTATTTGTAATGCAATAATTCTCAACACAAGATGATCTTGGTATAAAACCGGCATGAAAGGCTTCAGGCTTTAAGCATCGCCTTAAGGTATGCTGGGATTTTTAATTTGTTGTTTTCATTCGACAGGCTCGACGGTAAACACGTGGTGTTCGGGCAGGTGAAGGACGGGATGGACGTGGTCATGAGGATGCAGTCTTTTGGTTTACACGACGGGGGCGTGGTCAAAAGAATAGTCATCGCTGACTGTGGAGAGATCAGATAACTTTTAAAGCCATTCACAGACTTCTGTCAGATGAGTTCGTATGCAACAGTTTTAGGATTTTCTAGCTCTTCCTTCCGATATCTATGCATGAGGGATACTTGTGATATTTTTGCACTTTTAAATGCCAACCTATACTGTTTGTTCACAAAAAAAAACACAATTTAAAAAAAAGTGTTAAATTTATTTCCTTGCACAGTGATTGCACTTTTTATGCTTAAACTTGTCACTACTTTTACTTTTTTCTACTAGTACAGACATTTTTCAATTTACTGTGGCTGTTCAGACTTGTCTTGTAATATTTGAAGAAAACAAAGAATCAACACGTTTTGTTTCAAGTTGAATTTTACGCAGCGTGCCATGTTGTTTTAAGCTTCACTGACTGCTGAATAATGAAGGATTTGAAGCTTTTTAGTTTAGTTGAGCTCCAATCTAAAGACAAGACATTCGCTCTGTTGTGGCACCACCTGCTGGTTTTTAAAAACTTCCTTGAAAATATCCAGCAGCTTTTTTTAGACCTACGCTCTGGTGCTGTAAAGTACGTACTCGTGTAATCTAAGCAGTTTTTCTGAGACTTCACGAAAGACACCAAAGATAAACTCTTGGGAAACAAAAACGACCACAGGCGAGAGACCTCAAGAAACACTGAGCAGTTTTTGGCTGAAATCAGACGTGAGAGAGAACACGTCCCAAACGAATCAAAACAAATGAAGCAACACATTCTGGGCAGTGATAATTCAATTGGACTTTTTATTCACCAAACTCTCAACAGCACTAAAACTCTAAAATGCTTTCCCATCTAACAAATAAGGCACATTTTGGAATGCCATTTCATGGACATGAAAAACAGACGTGTGGTGAACTCTCCAAACTCCTCTTTGTTTCCCAAAATCCTTTGCCTCATGTCTGTGATCTGTCCAATTCAAACTTTTACATTATTGCAATAATGCATGACAAACATCTCAAGAGATACACACAGTAATGGAAATAAAAAATGCAACTTTCCAACTTGACCACATAAGTGTTGACACATTTCAGCCGTGTAAATATAATAATTACTCATCAGGGTAATCAACAAATTCCATGCTCAATCAGGGTAATAATAATAATACAAACCAGATTCCAAAAAAGTTGGGACACTAAACAAGTTGTGAATAAAAACTGAATGCAATGATGTGGAGATGGCATAAGTCAATATTTTATTCATAATATAACATGGATGACAGATCAAAAGTTTAATCTGAGTAAATGTAACATTTTAAAGGAAAAATATGTTGATTCAAAATTTCACTGTGTCAACAAATCCCAAAAAAGTTGGGACAAGTAGCAATAAGTGGCTGGAAAAAGGAAATTGAGCATATAACAAACAGCTGGAAGACCATTTAACACTAATTAGGTCAATTGACAACATGATTGGGTATAAAAAGAGCTTCTCAGAGTGTCAGTGTCTCTCAGAAGCCAAGATGGTAAGAGGATCACCAATTCCACCATTGTTGCACAGAAAGGTAGTGCAGCAATACCAGAATGGTGTTACCCAGTGTAATATAGCAAAGACTTTTAAGTTATCATCATCAACCGTGCATAACATCATCAAAAGATTTAGAGAATCTGGAACAATCGCTGTGCGTAAGGGTCAAGGCCGTAAAAC